CTGTGTGCTTACCCCAAGCACAGGGCACATCTGAGTTAAGAGATGCTTAAGAAGATATGTCTTTGACAATGCCTTTGAGAATTTGTTATGAGATATGTCCCTCTGCTGATAGTATCCAGGAGGGATAGATGTCTCTTTCATTCATTAGATGTATCTCAAAGAAGAAGCCCAGATGTTAGACTGGCCTCATTCTCCATTTTAAAATCCCCACTGGGATCTTGCTTACGTGGATAAACGCATTGGTCATACCTTCCTCTCAGATTTTGAAATTTTGAATATGTCAGTCACAAGACTCAGAGGTTTGTTTTTCTTGTAGCATGGTGCTTTTTATTGTAAGGATTTTGTGATGACAAGGGACCAGCTAAAGGGACTACTGGTCTGTAGCTATGCATGTTCCACTTGCATTTCAATGACTCTTAGTTCTAAAGGTCTCAACCCTGATATTAAGATATTACTTAATGAGTCTTCTAAACGTGTCGTGTTACTAGAATCTTCTGGCACCACAGATGGAAGGAGAACTGTCCTGACAGCACCCAGTCTGCATATGGATATCCTCAAGTCAGTCAGTCTTGAAAAGGAGCCGTCACTCCTTCCTGAACAATTTGTATATCCTTTTGCTTGTCAAATTATAAAAAAAATACATATCTGAGAATGGTAGAAATGTTTAGAATTTATCTAGCTACAAACCTAATTTTAAGATCCTCAGATCTCATAGTGGTTTTTAAAGTTTTTCACTTGACCTTGATTTCACCAGCAGATAAAGAGACTGTTGAAATTAGGATAATGAGCCATTGCAGTATGCCATCTGCCCAGCCATTGTGGAGTGTTTTTCTAGGCATTCCAGAAAGATTTTTTGGAGAGAAATTTGAATGAGTTGGGATTTTATAGAGAGAAAAAAAGCTAAAGAGAAATGTCAGTTCAGAGGAGAATGTGGTAGTTCACACCCATATAATTGGTTAATTTGAAAAATATTGCAGAAGTTAATATTTTTTTTAGTTTGTGTCTAGTCCAGAGTTTCTTACCTTGGTTTGGGTACTTCCTGTCCTGATGCTAGGTATTTTCTGCCCTTACAGAGGAGATTAAAGCCTCTAGCTGAAGCTCAGGTAGTAAATCAGCTCAGCATCATGAATTTTTGTAATTTTGAGAAGTCTGACATCAGCTGTCCTTGTGCTGGTTTAGATCTCAGATGGTTGAAAGTATTTTTTATTTTTTCTTTCTCTTTATTTTCTCTTTCTCTTTTTTTTTTTCCCCAAAAGAGAATTGAAAAGGTAAGGACAGTTGCTTTAATTATTCATTCTGAGGCCAGAATTCAACTATATTCCATTCACCTGTCTAGCCTGTCTAGTAGGAGCCAGTGACCAATCAGTTCTTTGCACAGATCTTGTCTACCAGGTCTTTGGCACTATATCAGCATATCTTTTGTTGATTTTTAAGAGGAGCACTGTGGGAACACTTATTGTTCCTAAAAGAAAGTACTGTGGAGGCCAGTCTTTCCTGTAGAAGTGAGGCAGGTTGGATGGAGCTCTGAGCAACCTGGTCTAGTAGGAGGTGTCCCTGTCCATGGTAGAATGGTTGGAACTAGAGAACTTAAGGGTCCCTTGCAACCCAAACTGTTCTATGTTTCTATGACATGAATCTGCTGGTGCTGGCCCTGTTAAGTTATTTAAATGGAAAAAAAGAGTGGCAATGAGAAATAAGTGGAATGGTAACTGTGCATAGCTGTCAGTGCACACCATGGCAGCCATGCTGATAGGGGTGCTTCACTGTGCCCTGCCTGCAGGGAGCAGGTCTGTCCATCACCAGAAAGAAACACTGAGCTCTCAGTGGTCATATGTGCTAGCAAACATTTTCAAACTCTACTCTGCATACAGTATAAAACTGTATGGCAACATACCTTGCTGTATTTTCAGCTGAGCCATACATCTACAGGAGAAACGAAATCTTGGACCCCCAGAAAGAAGTCCAAGAAAGAATTAAAAAGCACCAAAAACTCAACTATAGTTGTCAGACATAAGGTCTGTTGCCTTCTTGGAGGCCAGGCATTTGATAGTGGTTTATCCCAACCAGGTTGGTTCTTCCAGTGCATGGCTGGCCACATATTGTACTGCAAATTCCACATAAGGAGTGGGACAAGCAAAGCCTGTTTATTTATCATCTTCCTTTTGTCTTTTCTTGGAGAAAAACAAATGTGTGTAACTTGGTGGTGGCCTTTCTGTGTTAGGACTGGGCCATACAGGTAGATAGCTGGGGGAGTCAGGGGTCTGGCATGGTGCTTGCAAAAGGGACAAGGTTTTCTGAAGACATTAGAATTATACTCACATGAGTAATTAGAACTTGAGAAATATTTATATGACACCTCTTATGCTAAACAGTGTATTAAATTGGGAAAGGAAGATTTGGTGCCTTTAGTTATGCTGATAAGTTCTTCCACTGAAATTTTTGCTACATTCTTTGTTTTCTCTACTTTTTCTTGCAGTTACATGTTTATGTTTAAAAATAGTCACTGTAATGTATTTGGTCCCTCTCAGCTGTGTTAAGTGTTGGGTTGATTAGGAAGTTTCTCTGAAATGTGTTGCTAAAGGTCACTATCTTGGACTGATAAAGTGCTGCTGGAGATTTATTACCAGAACAGTTCATCCACTTGAAACAGTGCAATTAATATATGGTTCTGCCTTGGGCTATTCATCCTGCAGCTACAAAATCCAGTGCTGCCTGTGGAAGGATTTGCTCTCCTGTTGGTGGAGACATGAGTCCTCACAGAGGGTTGTCCACAGTGGTGCTTCATGGTTCCATGTACAAAATGCATAATCCCAGGAATATTGTGCTGACATGTTGAAGAACTTTCGTAGTACTTGGTGTGACCCCACATTACTCTGTAAGCCTTATCCATTAACAGTTCTGTCAGTGCACACTCCTTTTGCAGGTGCTAAATGGCATTGTTGGTGTTTTGTTCCATAGCATGAATGCTGAAACCAGTCATGCACTGAAAAGCTCCGCAGAACGTTAATCTGTTTGAGTTTTGTGTGTATATCTTCTTCAGTCATTTCTGTCCTGGGTCCTGGTACAAGTTCAGTGAAGTCCATGTAGTGTGTCCCTTCCTGGTGATTTCACAGTTTAATGGATGCTCTCTCAGGAAATCTTTGAGACCTGAAGCAGTATGTTTACTATGGAACTGGAGGATTGTGGCAACCCACTGTACAAGAGCTACTCCAGAATTAATACTTTCACTTTTGTTACTATGACCTCTTTCTAACACTTAGAAGATGCAACAGGCTATACATTTTTACCATAGTATACACTATATAGTGTTCACTATACAATAACTATTTGTTAGTCATATGCTGACAGTCATATCATAAATGTGTCTATTTGAATTACTAGTATTGGAGTAAACCACATGTATGTGAGTTTTTATGTCTGTATACTTGTATCAGTAAAAAAATAAAACTGTATACTTGTTGGTATGGGAAGTAGTGAACTTTCTGGTGCGTGCCCTTATGTGTTGTCTGTGTTCTGGAGTTCTCTTAAAAACCATTGTGCTGGTGAGTCTTCCTCAGCTTGGCATTTCTGCCCTTCTGCTGACTGTCACCAGCCTCACAGCAGAGGGGAAAACTGCTTCTTCCCTCACTTCATCACTGCCTTTTTGCGCATAAAAAGATGTTTAGAAAGGCTGCATTCTGCAGCAGAGCTGTTTTCCTCCCAAGTGAATATACTGACTTATTTTTACAACTATTTTTAGCAGGTGACACAAAATACAAATGTTTGGATTTTTTTTTTCTGTGTGTATTTTAATATCTTGTTTAAATCCTCAAAAAGGAGCTAATAATTTTGGAGAGAAAAAGGAGAAGGTATTGCATATGAAATGAAAGATGTATTGATTGACTGGCAAGGAGTACGATACTACTATAGTTTAAAAAAGCATTGTCTAAAATAAGTGCTTTAGGAAAGGGGAAGAGGGCTAAGAAAAAAAGAAAGCAAAATTTATACTTTTTCTGTAGTTTTGTGCCACCAGTTGAACACTATGGTTCTCCCATTAATACAATAATCACTTCAAATAGATGGTCCTGTGCAGGGCTAAGGGTTGGACTTCATGATCTTCATTGATCCTTCCAACTCAGCTGATTCTGTGATTCTCTGCAAAGTGAATAAGCAATTCCTAGTAGACCTATAAAAATTAAATAGTAGGTCATTAGTTGTCATTAGTTTGGAATATATCCTGTCACCTCTCCCAGCAGGGAGGTGTGGAAGGTTTTTTAAGCACACAAATATTTTGCTCTTTGACCTTAACTCTGAATATGGAAAAACAGATCATCACTGTAGATTCCATATTTTGATGTCAAAATCAACTAGCAGCTGCCCTGAAATAACACTAATATTTACGTGTTAATGTTTTCTCTCCATTACTTGCAACTTAGCTGACACTGATTCCATTCCCTGTGTCATAAAAATAGTGGTGGGTTTTTTTCTTTACAGTATTTTCTCTCTTCTTCATTTGAAAATAGCGAAAAACAAAACAAAATGATTGTTTATCTGTAGCCAGAACTTAAAATGCAGAATTTCGTGTTGTCCTTCATAAGTGAATTAAAAATTGCATTTAGACATTTGGCCCTGTTTACATTTATACATTGATCCACAGCATGGATGCAATTTATCTTGTACCTCATATGCTGTCATATGTGAGCCTGTGTTCTTAGATTTCCCAAATGACTTTTTAATTAGTTGTTGTTATTACACAGCTCATAGATTTTTTCCAGTGCACAGCCACGTTGATTTCATCACTTATCTCATCTTTCACGTGAAATAATCCTGATTGCTGTTGTGGCTGCCTTGCACTTCTTACCCTCACTTCTGCTGACATGGACCAACCTTAGTGTGTGGTTTCCGTAACCTTCAACATCACAGCAACACAGACCTGTATGCAGCTTCAGTGTTACTGTTATGTTGTGTTCTGGTTTTTTTAATGCCTTTTTTCATATTTTGTTTTCTTGTCTTTTTTTCAGAACCCCCTGGAACATTACATTCCCCTGTTAAGAGCTTGGACAAGAGTTTGGCATTCCGCTTTTGCAGGTACCTTTTTGAATTAAAATGGGCACTTTTTCCCAGGGGTTGATAAAAGGAGGGAAATTCCAGAAGGACTTTACCATGTCTTCTTCTGCTGTCTGGGGAGGTATGTTCTGTTCATTAGCTGCAAATATATAGCTCAGTACTGTTTCAGAAGGATTGAGGCTTGCTCTTGCTGGCCTCAGTCACGCAGCAACTTATGTGTCAATGTTGCAGAATCCTTTTTGGAAGTACTTCAGTAGTTCCAGGCTTTTTCTCACCCTCTATTCCCAACCTGTACTTTAGTTACAGCCATACCATTCAGTAGGTTGTGTTAGGTTTTTATGATGGAAACCTCCAGTGTAAGTGAACACTTCTAGCCTTAGTCCTCCAGAGCTGTTATTTATTCCTGTTATTTATCTGAATCCTTTTTGGAAGTATTCCAGTAGTTCCAGGCTTTTTCTCATCCCATATTCCCAACCTGTAATTTGGTTACAATTTTTCCATTCAGTAGATTGCATTAGCTTTTTGTATAGGAGACCTTCACTGCAAGCGAGCACTTGTAGCCTTAGTGCTTCAGAGCTTTTTGTTATTTATTTGGTTATTGCTACTACATTCAAAACATGGAATCACAGAGAATCACAGAATGGGTAAGGTTGGAAGGATGGGCCTTTAGTGAATCCGTGCTGACTACTCCTGATGACCTTCTTGTCATCCATGTGGATAGAGATGGCCTCCAGAATGAGGCACTTCATCACCTTTTCCAGGGATGAAGGTGAGGCTGACTGGCTGGTAGTTCCTGTGTCCTCTCTCCTGGCCTTTTTGAAGGCTGGATTGCTTTCTTCCAGTCCTCAGATAGAAGTCCATCCAGAACATGCTGAGCTTGATCTCAAGGTCTGAGCAGGAGATGAGCATTACAGCTTAAAATCTTATTCATCGCTAAAGCTCCTAAAGAAAAGGGGGAAATCCAGTATCTCATCCAGTGGAAAGAGCTTCATCCTTGGTAAATACAAGGAAACCAGCTGAAACCCAGAAGGGCAGGAGGTGATGCCAGCTGTACATGTAGCACATTGTACCAATGGTTGTACAATTCTTGAAAGACCAGTAGGGCACTTCTAATGTTTCACTGTAGCGAAGAGAAAAATCAGTAATCAATGTCTTATGTGTCATGTGTCAAATCAGCAACACACTTCACTAATATTTAGTTTTAATTCCACTCAGTAGAAAGCATTTCATGTTCATCTGTTTCCAATCACCATATTTGGCTCGTGAACATAAATTTGCATCGTGTGGGGTCTTAAATTAATAATTATCAGTGCTGTTTTATTTAAAGACAAAAATGTTAAGTCTGAGAGTACACATGGCTAATTTAAGGGTAAAAATCTGTTCCCAGAGTGTAGAAATCATCTCAGAAGCCATTTCTGTCAGCTGAGAAAATTAGGAACTTGAAATTCCAGATATGTTGTAATGCAAAATTAAAGGCAGCAAAACCATTTTAGCTGTGCCAAGGGCTGACACGAGGAACATTCAAAGCCTGGTAAGCAATTTGTGTTAGGTTTTGTGATCACAAGTTAACCTATACTAATTTTACAGTCACATTTCATATTTTTACCTTCCCGATGCCATTCTGTATAGGATTTATTTCTGCCATCCTAGAAATGGGATTCAATGTTTTGCATTCATACAGATGCTGCAGCAGGTCTGTAGTTTTGTTGGAAATATATTGCTCAGTTTGCCAACAGAAAAGATTGGATTTGTGATTTATGACGAAAGCAGCATTCAGTCCTGGCTGCAGTGACACAGCCCTTTTTATTAGCTTGTAAAGAATGTCTCGGAACCAGTCCAGATCAGTGATGAGCTGGTGCTAGTGAGTGAGGGACATCTTCAATGGAGGGACGTGGTTCCCCAGCAGTGATGGGGATAGTGTGCTGGCAGGGCAGCTGGACAGGAGAGGTTGCCTTTATGCAGGAGGCATGAAAAAACAGAGATCAGGTGTCCTCACTTGAGGCTCGGCACCTTGTTTGCTGCATCATATTATTTTTATGGCTTAGGCAGCTTAGCCCTGAGATACTCTAGTTCAGTTAACTACTTAAAAAGTTTGCTGATCTATCCAATTTCTAAAAAGTTTGCTATCTCTATCCAATTTCTAGGTTTGGAATAAATTTCCTTTGTTACTTTGGGCAGTCATACTCAGTCGTGTGTTTAATTTTCAGTTTGGACATTTATCTTCATTTATAAAGAGGGGAGATCTGTTAATGTGGCTGTGTATCACAAATCTTAGAGGAGAATGGATATATAGCAATGATGGAGTAGTCTGATACTAGAAGGGAGGGTAGGAATGGAGGAATAGTTAAAACACTTTTTTTAAGCAGTAGTCTGTGGCACTTGTGAGAACACGGTCAAGAGCATCTCTAGTTCAGGACCCCCCAGGGACAAGCCAATTGTGTATCTCATCATGCAATCAGCACATAAAGGGAGCTGAAGCATTGCCAAAAAGAACTGGATTTACCGAGTTTGCTGGATTTACTCCACTATTCATTTTCCTCTTGAAAGTGCACAGGGCTCTGAGGCGGGTATCCTTCTGTGATCTCCTCCTGCCAACCACCCCACTACCAGCTCCTTCGCCACCAGCCTTGTAGGCTCAGTGGACAGCCTGCCCCAGGCACGGGGGCTGCAGCAGAGAGATGTATCTCTTTGCTGCAACCCTAAAGTGGTCTGGGTTAGCAAGAGCTTTGCTTCAGGAGGATCTTCATGCCAGCTTTGTTCCTCCTGCAGGTTATATGAGCTGTGAGAGAGGAGAGGAGGAAGAGCCCTTGAGGTGTCTCTTCCACTTTCCTATAATCCCCCTTTGTCCTTGTAATCTACTCCTGCTTCCCAACCCACTGTTTGGTGCTCCTTTCTCTATTCCCAACACCTTTTCCTCACTGATCTTTCCCTGGTGATTGCATTTCTCCTCTACCTCTCCATGTCTTGCCATTTCTTGGTCTTCTTGTGTCTGTCCACAGACTCTAAATTCCAGTCTTAGGGGTTTTTAGTTTGTTTGTTTGTTTGTTTTCTTGGCACTGGGTTGCCTTAACTCTCCTTTCACTGCCTTCCTCTCTTCATTTAATTAAATACACTGGTCATGACTTGATACAGCTTTTGTTTTCTTTAAGATAATGAGGGTTTTGTGGTTTCTTAAAATTTGTGGTCAGGAAGAATTTCCATCATAACTTCATCAGACCCCTCAGATATGCAAAAACTATTCAAGAGTCTGATTTCTTAAATGCAACTTTCTAAGAACATTGTTTTAGTGAAGAGTCGTTAATTTAAACAGTAATACAAAAACACACTCCGAGTGTCAAACTTGGATATTAAACAGAAGTTTGGATGCCCATTAACAAGTAGCTAACTGAGTGTTCATCTTCAGTTGAATAGGTTGCAAACAGTTTGTGAAGATCTGTAGTTTTAACATGTGGGCTCTGTGGGCACATATTTCCCATATGGAAATCAAGAAGAAAATATACTCAGTGTATTCTAACATCTCTGCCTCAACAACTGTAGTAAATACTGGTAGTCTGAGGTGTAACACACGCAGGCATGTGATCATGCTGTGCCCATGCAGTGTAGCACTTGCGTTGAGTTATACAGCTGTATCATTGATTGCAACGTCATAATAACATAGAAGACCTAAATTGCATTGTGTTTCAGAGCCAAAATTGGTATTTTTAACCATCAGCTTGAAGTAGTATTAAATATACAGACGTGTCTTCGAGACGTAGTGCTTTGCAGTCCCTCAGTTTTCTTCCTTGACTTCTAACACCATGTATCTTTAGACTTGAGGCTGGAGGAAAGGGGAATGAACTATTCTGTGCTATGGGAAAATGTCATCTTCTCTAGAGAAAAATATAGCTGTACCAGTCAAAAATAAGAGAGCGTTCATGGAGTTGTCCTGAAGGTTGCAGTGCCCTGGAACACTGCTGTAAGTCATGTGTGGTTTGTTTTTGTTGGATTTTTTCCCAATTATTAGTTTTAAAAGACTTGATTTGTTTTTATGTAGTCAAAGTTTTTATAGCACACTTATTTAAGAAAAAAATGTGCAATATTCCATATGTGTAAAGTTTCAATGCTTAGAAATGGTTAACTCGGGGCAATTAGATTGTAGAAATTACTTCAAAACAGCCGTGCTGACCTTACTGCAGTAATAGCTCATGTTACAAAAAAGGCTGTTTAATACAAAGAGCTTTGGCAAAAAAGATCCCACAGCTAATCAGAAAAGCAGCTCAAAGTCCGCAGTTGTCAGAATTAGGCCACTCTATTGTACTGCCCTGGCTGAACATTATCATTTTTCTAAAGGTACTGGTTTTACCATACTCATTTTTCAATTGTGCCTACTGTACTACCTATTAAAGGTGGCCTTGTAGGTTCTTAATATCAGTAAGAGACATTAATTGGCTATATTTTAATATTTATTTCTAAAGATGAAACGGTTGTGTTCCTGTATGGAGTTTATTAAAAAGAATTTTCCATGTAACAAGATAAGCTGTTAGGAGAGAAAATATTTAAGTATCTATAATCTAGATGGCTTTCTGGTTTCTTGCTTGTAAAATTTTGGCAACTAATATAAGAACTATTCCATATACTTGGGCACTATTTCTTTCAAATATGTTTTCAGAACATGTAAGAAACTTCAGAAAGGTGCTATTAAGCTTTGTTTTGAAACTATGAAAATAAGTAGTTTTAAAAGATTCTCTTTCTAATTAAATTTATAAAGGAAAGGAAATTTTCAGTATGATATTTTTTTTTCCATTTATAATAGCTCTTTATGATTGCTGTTTTTTTCACTGCATAAATTGTTGGAATTGTTTCTCTTTTCTGGACTGTATTTGTTTACTTTGGGTCTTCATTTATTTGAACATTTCTGGAGTTTTGCAGGGTTAGTAACTGCAAGTGAATGTCTAACTGCTGTTTTCTTTGTGGGTTTATGGTTATTTCTCAGACAAAATCTGTTCCTAGCTATGATACTATGTTCCTTTAATGTATTCCTC